ACACACACACACACACACACACACACACACACACACACACAAGGGTCTGGCTCCCTCCTTTGCCTTGTGGTGTTAATGGTTTTATCTGCTGCGTTATTTTATAATTGGGGGTTTTAATATTTTTATGCTCTGAGCCACCCAGAGACAATGGATGTCAGATAGGCTGCAAATAAACATCATGAGAGAGAAAGAGAGAGACTGACAGACAGACAGAGACAGAGATAGAAGTAGACAGATAGAAAGATAGAAAGACAAAGAAAGGAAGGAAGGAAGGAAGGAAGGAAGGAAGAAAAAGAAAGGAAGGAAGGAAGGAAGGAGAAAGAAAAGGAGGGAAGGAAGGAAATATGCCCTCTCTCCTGAGGCTCTGGGCTGGCCAGCCCTTCTGCAGAACTCCCCTCCCCCACCTGCTGCCCCAGACGCCCCTCCCCCCACTGTCAAACAACCTGCCTTTCACAGGAAGTCAAGCACAGCAGGCGCTGGGCAAAGGTCGTTCTAGCACTAGGCGCTACCAGTGACTCAAACTCCCTCCCTCCCTCCCTCTGCCAATTTGTGGCTCCCAGCAACCCCCAAATCCCCCCAGGTCCCTTCCTGCACCCCCACTCTAGAGCCCTCTTGCCCGGCAGAGGATCCCCCTGGCCAAGGGAGATGGGCAGAGGGGCAGGGCTGGGGACAAAACGGCCCAGGAAGAGGGACACTGATGCCACCTGCCAGGAAGTCAGGGGGAGGGGGGCAGCACCAGGGAGGCGCCAAGGTGGGTAGCAGGACCTGTTGGGACCTGCCAGGAAAGAGCTGTGGGGGGGGGGTGGCACCTGGCCAGGGGGAGGCAGCAGGCAGGAAGCCCACCTGTTCAGCAGATGCCAGTCAGTTGGCCCCCCTGGCTCCGTCCCATCTGCCAACTTGGATGAGTGAGGAGCCCAGGGGTTGCCAGCCGACTCACTTCTCACCTTCAGGGTACAAGACCCCCCTTTTTTGCATGCTTTTTTCGCCCTCTCCAGGCTCCAGAGGCTTTATAGGAGCCTGGGGAGGGTGAAAACAGCCCCCCCCCCGCTCCCCCAGGAAGCCCTCCGAAGGCTTCAG